CAAGTTAATTAGCACCTAGTTAAGTCCTATTCTTTTGTGTGATATTGCCAAAGGAGTACACAACACATTTTCATTGGAGCACTTGTACTCACAGAGCTAGCCTCTTCAAAACAAGAGTCACTTTGTCCGACTCCGCGGTGAGGTGCGAGCGGGCAGCTGCGAAGCAGTTTATCGAAAGGCAGTAGACCTCCAGAAGTGGAAGACCATGGTCTATGGAGTTTCTGCTGCCAGCATAATGCATAAGTGCCTGAGGGAGGGAGGGGAAAAAAAATGCACAGATACTTACATGACATTGGTTTTCCCATTAGAACAATCATAAGCAGGTGAGATTTCTGAGGCGTTTCCTCTTGAGGGAAAAGGGAGACGCTAGACTACACCTGATTGATCCCACTTGGCACTGTCTGGTTTGAGATGCTACTGATTAGGCCCAAGGGCTTAGCGAGGGGAAAATAACCCATACAAACTGTCAAATACATATTTGTGCGTATTTTGTAAGAATGGAATGGTCCATGGTTTAGGAATTAACAGTAAACAAATTTCAAACAGTTGGCCACACCGCTCCAACTGCAACTATGTATCATCCTGGATTCAGCAAAATCAATCAATCAAGAACAGACCAATACTACTATCTCAGATCCCGGTCAACTAAAAGCTCGGATATAATTGTAATGTATCATCAAAAATCTTGACATCCCCACATGGATTGCGGTTTTCTTTTCAAACAAATGCTGTATATGAACAAAGTCCATTTTCTCCCCTAGCAGTGCCACTTTTTTCGTTTTTTTTTTAGAATATTGCCCTTTTTATTAAGAGTATAAAATACGGGCCTTGCCCAATATCAAGTACCCTCTCCTCTAAACGGCATCGTCAAATAATTGAGAGCGCGATAGACAGGTGTGTGACAGTTGTGAGACGTGCGAACGGCTACACCTCAAATTCAAGTTTAACAAGTGCCAATTATTTGGTGCCAAGCAAGCTCATTCTCCACTGGTTGCATTTAACCAGGTCATACATCAATCGTGTTGTTTTCGAGATGAGAGAAGTCACGCATGTACCCAACAACTATATAGTTGGGTGGACTCTTCATTTTAGCCTGCACAAGCCTATAAATAATATAAATGTTTTGTTTACCATGAGACAAATCAAATGGATCAAACAAAGGAATCCCTCATTCAATGTTAAAGCTTACATGGGTGAGTCCACCAAATTGGTGCCACTTGCATCCCCGGGCAATTTACATGAAAATACATTTTTATAAAACGTCCCCCACATTGATATGTATTACGTTTAAAGTTTACATTCAATAAACATAAATGCTGTATAATTCCTGCATTTGGTGACTTAATGCTAATAGTATTCGGCCTCAGGTAATTAAAAAAAAAAAAAAAAATGTGTCACCGGGACGTCCCTAGAAGCAAATTTTGTATGTTTTGCGGGCTCTCCAAAAAGTGCAGTCGGTGTCGCCATTTACAATTCCCAATGTCAAGAAGTACATAGGGTTGCAAAAATGATATTTTTGTATTCAAAATACATATCCTGCTAATACCGGTAATCTTGAGAACTTTGGTCATAATAATCATGAGATGAAATTCCCATAATTTTCCGTGGTATCCTCCTTGGTCGTTTCTAACGAAGTCTACTTTGGCTCAAATTCACGACGGACGGTGCGATCTGACATCAATGTACCTTGACCTTAACGGTGACCTTTAATTTCTTTGGAAGGTGTGCTGGGCTCTTTTGTTACCATTCATATTATCCAGCTCTTCAATTTGTCATCAATTTTCCTCCTGCGGCCATGTCCCAAAATGCTGGCTCCAGTCCCGCGCAGATATATTCACAGGAACATCAAGTTGCTGGGAGAGGGTCATGGCGCAACCACGAACATCAAATACACCGCAGAAATGATTAATTCACTTTAGTTGATTGAAAATATGCTTCAAAAGACATTTTTGGCACTGGGTGCTAGCTGGCTGTCAAAATCAAACTGATACACTTTCTTGTTTTGGGCAAATAATCATTAACTATGAATTTTATTCATTGGAATTAGGTTTGTATAAAGTGCAGAAATATCATTTTCGTCAATGCCTATGTCACAATTGTTTTCTCCCCAATGTAATTCTGTTGAACCACAAATCAAAGGCAATCTCAGATGTTCCGAGGTTAATTTTTACTATTGTTTCTTTTGTCAAAGTCATTTCTGACCACTGTGGATTTGTTTGCTTTCATTTAAAAAGGGGTACTAAATAATTTTGTCCACATGGACATTACCTTTGAAGACCTACTGGTTCGACACTAAAGTTCATTTTGAACATTTGAAAATGTGTGCCGCCTACATCCCGCAGGATAGTGAGCTTGTCATCCTGAGACACCTGAGTACCAGACAGACACCCTGGCATGCTGGGTATCCACGGGGAGCCTTGATTAATTCCCCACTGTCTATTTATGGCACATCCACAAGGGGGAACCTCCTAAAAGGATCTCAGCCTAGGAGATTTGAGTGTAATTACATTGGGACTACTTCCGACTTGAATGTGATGCCTGAGTTGAAAAGAGGCTAGTTTGTGCAAAACAAGGCGTTGCAAGAAAGAAGTAGGTTATACGAGATGCAAATTTAAATGTTGATTGTTGCGTTGTGGTTAAATTTGACTCTACTTACAGTAGTATGCTAATATGATGTGAGGAACACAAAATTGCAAGCTGGTAAATGTTGTGGTGTTTCTGCATGGTTCATAGTCAGGTGGCTTCATGGGCTCATGACCTCATTCTTTTCTTTCTCTTGTTCGAATACATTGATACTTTTCTTTTTCTCCATTGCAGGTACTTGTTTTTTTCTGGCTGTGTCAAGACACCCTAAAATCTCTGATTGACTTCTGTTCTTTATGTTTGAAAAATAGAACCACTTTTACTTTGACATTCCTCCTTCATCCTCTTGATCCCTTTGAAGAATGAGAGCAGTTCTCTGGAATCCCTCTTGAACATAGTTACCACTGTCCTCTTAAAAAAAGCATACATTTAATGAATCTACAGTTTCAGATTCAAGATGCCCTCCGTTTTGTTCGATTTAAGCACACACTGGTTAATTTAAAATTAATTATACAAACATGGGTTACTTTATTACCGGGAACAGCCTTAATGGACACACAATGGAACGTTTATCTATACAAAAGAATATATTTTTAAATATCTTTAGAGGAAAAAAAGTTTTCTTACAGTCAAATGTATTAAAGTGTCAGATTTGATCAGAGCAGTATTTGTATACACACCCATGTCTCAACGTGCAATTACGAATCCAGATCACAATACTGTAGTACGAGGGGTGTTGCTGAGCTTCCTCAAACACTCAATATTGATTTCAACAGAGCCAGTAGTGAACCGCATTTAATTAACATTGTAGGATCATGTTAATTATTTTAAAGTCGCTGCTGGACGCCGAGCAGTAGTATACGTTTATTCAGAAACGCGTTTTCTAATTACAAAAGGGGCGCAACCGATCCCAGAGCATCTCGACTATCTTCAGGAAAACAACCCAAACTGAGCAAGCGGTATGCTAACGCTAGTATCAAGATTCACGCACTCGTTACCTGACAAAAGTTGTCGCAATAGTCCGCGGACGACGCCACGGACAATTCCTGTTGCCTAAGCCCGTCTTCGAATGCCCTCAGTGTGGCCAACAGGGTTTCCATTGCAACCAGCGTGTCCTCGGCCGTGTCCAGGCCCCGCTCGCTCCATTCGTGATCAAGATCGACGTTCCTCTCCGCCATCTTCCCTCTCCTCCACGGCGCGTATGCACTAGAGCAGTTTGACACCGCCTTCTTTTCTTCTTCTTTGTGTCTGATTGCGGTTTACAAACTGTCTTAGTGTATTACCGCCACTCATTGATCTGCAATGATTACTGCACTGTCTTTCAGACAACAAGAGGTCGCTAACGTTTTGGAAATCGAGAGCAACAGTTTGATCCAAACTTTGGAAAAACAAATGTGTTTCTCCATTACTTATGTATACTGTATTGATGCATCTCTCTCTCTCTCTCTCTCTCTCTCTGTCAGGATATAGAGATATTGTATTACTGTATATTAAATTATCTTATAATATATATCAAATTTACATGTTCTACATCTATGGGGAGAAACTGATCACGTATAGTCATAAAGACATGGATGGTGCTACACCAGGGCGAAAGGTACTACATAGCCCTGTTACAAATCTGTATTCGCCCAGTTAAGCCCCTCGAGCATTTTATTTTATATTTTACTATACATCTATTAATGATTTTCTCAGCCCCTCTACATATTGGTCAAGCCCCAGGAAAGGAAAAATCTTGAAATTGTGCCTGGTTAAAGACCCTGTCATGTGATTTTCATTATTTGTTTCTAAATAAGTTTATGTTTAAAGATAAATTCTGAAAACATACAAAGACTGATGACTTGATTGTCGACATATTTAAACTCTACTTTACCATTCCACTTGTGTGCATTTGGTGCGTACTGGGGCTTCGGTGTACTTTCTGGGTGAGTATAAGTACTGAGAGCCATCCTTCACTTCCATCTGTTAGATTGGGGCTCTTTAGCACATGAATAGATAGGTGACTCGAGCAAGGCTATTGTGTCACTGTTACCGTTTCCTGGCTCTGCATCTTTGTATCTATCTGCATCCTGACATGTTTGATTCAAATGATCAGTTCATCTGCAAACTTGATCATTTGACTCAAGTACAGTCAGTCATAGATTAGAAGGCGATTTGTCAAGTCATTGGCCTCCGTGTTATGGATGTTTTAAAGAAACATAAATTACATAAGAACAATGTTTCTTTGACCATATCTACGCATATTATGTTTTTGGTGTTCATTTTAGAAATAAAAATGCAAATATATTTGTTTTGTTTTGTTTCGTTTTTTAGAATCAGTGGCCGACGCCATCTAGCGACACGTCACACTCGCACTTTCTTTCGACCCGGAAGTAAATGAGTCCACTCCTTCCAGTTGCACGTGTGAGGGGGTAAGTAAACATGAAGATGATGACGCCAAAGAAAACGGGTTGAAACTGATATATTAGAAAGAAACAGACTTATATTTTACCTTTGTCGTGTTATAAAGAAAACGGCACAACTCGGCCAGTGGTATAGTTTAACTTGGCGCAGATTGATTTTTGAAGTCGCTTCACTCACGCTTTATAACGTTGAATCCCGATGAGCATAAACTAAGAAAATGTCTATTACTTAGTCATGGCCTGATGAAGCCTTATGAAGACTTAAAACTTTCCGCCCAACTGGTTCACAAAAAGGTTGAGATGCACACAAACCCTCCTGCTGGCTAAAACCGTGATTGCCATTGGATGATATAGTTTTTGCAGACTTCCCCCCCCAAAATTGGAACCGAAACAGCACTGAAGGCAACTGAAGTAGGACTCGAGTCAAGTCATATGACTCGATTCCCCCACCTAAGCTATTTCCTTTCAGCTATGTTACATTGTATCCATGTTTGTCCTTACAGCTCACCGGTCTAACCATGGGGAAGTCCAAACAAACGAAAAACCACAATAATGGCAGAAAGAAGAACATTGCAAAGACGTGGAAGACGAAGCGCCGGACAAAAGACTTAGATGAGATCCATTCAGATATGAAGCCTGAAATTGCTGCCAAACTACTTAATCAGGAAGTGGACTATGATGTGACGGGATGTGCACAGCACTACTGTTTACACTGCGCGTAAGTGGACAACTGTACTACTGCTCACTGTCGAGGTAGAGCTCAAGGACCCTTCAATCCATTTTGGATAATGTTGAAGGAGACGTTTTTTTAATAATTTAAACTAGTTTGCAGGTGTCTCAACATGTCTGTGACATGCATTTTTCAAAACATGTTCTGAGCAATGGTTGGACGACTGTCATGACATTTTCTGAAATCCGGATTGCACCACGCTGCATACAGCAACATTGCAGCTTCTCTTTAAACCCGATACAAATGTCAACTTTAAAGATGCCATGTCTACTCTGAAGGCAGGTCTTGTTGATGATGTGGTGCACAATTTGGTATCATTCACACTCGTCATTACAATCAACTTGTGGCCTATTTGATTTTGCAGGGGAGCAAAAAAGAGGTGTTTCAATTTCTCTCAATGCTTAATAGGGACATGGCTGCTAAACTCCATTGAAAATAGGTTTATTAAAGTTCGCTTAAATAATGTAACAAATGTAATTAATAACTAACAAAATGACTGACTTTTTACCATGTGCAGTACTGGAACATGTTCTTCATTCCAGTATGCTCATGGTGTATTGCTTCTTGGTGGAAGGGTTAGAACAGTAGACTAGTGGTTTGCAAGTCTGCTTCAAATTTGAGAGTTTCTTTGTGTATAGTACTCCGGCTTACTAACCGATTCCCAAAAATGTAGTCTCCTCTCACCAAAAGTTGAGTGGGAGAGGCTCCAGCTCATCCAAAACCCTATAATGACAAGTGCAATCAAAAATGGAAGAATGGATTCTCGTGGTTGTTCATTAGTAGTTGGTAATACGGTGACTTTTTGTCTTGCAGGAGATATTTTGTGGATATGAAATCGTTGAAAGACCATTTCAAGACTAAAGTCCACAAAAAACGGTAAAGCTCCGATAGTTTTGTATGCATTGAAATATGCAGTATTTGGACCCTCAGCCTGGTTTTCGTCCATTTAGGTTGAAAGAGCTTAAGGAGGAACCGTACACGCAGGCAGAGGCAGAGAGAGCGGCTGGGATGGGCTCCTATATCCCTCCAAAGGTCATGGAGGTGAAGACGCAACCTGTGGAAGAAGATATGTGCTGAAAAGTTCCTTCTCCGTGAAGTGAACTTTACAAAACGTGGAAGCCAAAAATGCACATGTTGATAAATTGTGTTTTTGCAGTCAGCTCATTCATAAGTAAACTGAATATTATCAGCATCACAAAAGTGTTGCCTTATTCTTGGTAATACACAGTGTAACTTATGTAAATATGGAGAGTGTGAAGTGGTAATAAACCGAGATAGATTGCCCTTACACAAGCCTGCTGTTCTCTGTAAAATGATTCGCACACGACACACATGCCAAGTTTGAACATGTTTCAGTGTTTTTTTGTTTTTGTTTTTTTAAAAGCAATTTATGCAGATTACAATTCATTCAAAAAGTAATTTAAAGTCAGGTCAGTTATTTAAGTGGAACTGTTAGAGTCTTAACAGTTGGCAATATGTCTGTCTCTTGAGCCAACCTGAAAATCACATTAGTCTGACAACACACACAGGTGAGGTGTATCTTTTTCAGTTATTAAACAATGTTTTTTTTGTAAATCAGTTCAGAAGTCATAACTGAAGCTATTTTGAGTCAATCCAAGGTAGCTATCAAGCGACAGCATGTGGCGTAATTTTCTTCTCGATATGAGCACTAATGAAGAAAAAAGGAAAACGTTTTTGTGTACAGCTACAGTTTCAAAGGGTATGTGTCAAGAGCAGAAACTGCAGATTCAGATCTAAAGTCCCTTCTGGCAGACGAACATGTAATTTAAATTGTTTAACAGAGCTTCCTGGCAGGAAAAGCACCCCCCCCCAAAAGAAAAAAAACAAATTGAGAAGGGGACAAAACCTCGAAAATATTAGGTGAATTTGTTGGAATACACTGCGATCATATTTGCGGAAAATCCGTTTCAAAATAAAATAAAAGGCCTGGTCGAGCAAACAGCACTGTAGAATGTAAGCGAATTGCGTGCCCATCGCTTGAAATACTTTAAATTTGAAAACACAGTAATATAACTTCCAGTTGGTTGTGGGTTTCACTTGATCCCTTGACACATTCGCGAGCAGTCCTCCAGGGATGTGCGGCTAAATTGCTAGCGGTTGTCTGGGAACTCCATCCCCCAGAAGGGACGTTCCTCTCCTACATCGGAGGCAGTAGCATAGCCGGTCGCTCTGTATAGAAGGAAGTCTGCGGTTGGATATTTTTTGGATGTTATCCGACCGACATGCCTTTGTGTTAGGAGGGGATGGCGGCGGACGTGCATAAAGAGACCCGCGAGGAGGGACGCAACGACGGCCAGAAGCGACAACAATCTCGGGGCTCCAGCTCCCAGATCTCCACCAGGACTTACACCCTGCTACTGGTTCTTGCTGTTCCTCTCCTGGCGTGGGCCATCAAGTACTATCAAGAAACCCACCTTCAAAATAGACACGTGAGCTGAAGTCATAGTCGAAATGATTGGATTTAGACAACATCTACTGTAGTGATACAAATTGTTTGTACAGTGTAATGACATTGAAATTTCAAGCCGAAGTCAAACAGTATGATGAAATCCAAAATTAAAGCCGAAGTCAAGTAAAAATAAAAATATTGTTTTAAAATATCGTGCTATGTTTCATGCGCTCCCATTGCTCTAAACAGGGTATTCTGATTTATTGTGAATCAACCCGTTTTTAGGGACAGTCTTCGAACTCTTGGTCTCTTGGTCAGGTCTTGTACTGCCACCCGTTATCGACTGATATTGACGTCACATCATATCAACTTGTGAATGTCACCAGTTTTCTGAATTTGGTTACGTGATGTAATGTCTGGCAGTGGATGAGTTAACAGCTTCGTGCATGACACCGATTTTCGGAAATAGGCAGACAACTAAAGATTGGTTTGGTTTAATTTGAGACTTGATGAGTGGGCAGACACCGCATATACAATGTTGTATGCAAGCCATTAAAATGTACTCCCCCCCCCCAAAAAAAACAAAAGCCCTTTGCCAAGAAATTGTGTGCGATCCAGTAACTGCCGCTCAACCCATTTTGGCATTTTGGTGTGTTGACACCACATCTGCAGTTAGTCCAGCCCATTGTGCTTTTACAAACAGGGTGTGTCTTTTAGTTGTCTCAACTGGTAAAACTCAGTGTTTGGTCTCAAATTTGCTCCCCCCACCCCGCTGCCACCCGTTGTGTATCTGGCAGTCAACATGTGTTTGAGACATGGCCTGACTGGATGGAACATATGCAAAGAATCTGTAGCCTCCGGGCAGACCTTTTCCACTCTTTCCAGTTTCTACAAAATCTGTTATTGCAGCAGTAACCCAGATTTGTTGCAGCGCGCATTGAGAATGAAATCATTGGAGTATGTCAAATGAATGTGAATCTCTCTCCCCCTTTTAGGAGGAGAGTGTGCAAACTCTGGGTGCCGAGGGGCTTTTTCTCTTCTCCTCTTTAGACACCAACCATGACCTCTATCTCAGTCCGGAGGAATTCAAACCGGTTGTGGAGAAACTCACAGGTAGCTCAAACTTAACATTTCCGTTCCCTCCTGTAATGTTCGATGACACCGCCTTATCTTTTTTCCCCACAGGGATTACACCACCGCGGGACATTGAAGATGAGGTGATTGAAGACCCAGATGGGGAGACTTTAACGCTGGAGGCCAAAATGGAGCCTCTGCTCATGGACTCCATGACAAAAAGCAAAGATGGCTTCCTTGGGGTAAGAAAAACCAGCAAAATGCTCGCTCATCGCAATTTGGTAAAATACTGTGGAAAACATGGATAAAACATACCGGTAGTTACATACCTCAGCTGAATCATGGCATTACCAAAGATTATGGCAAATATTGGCATCTGGAGGAAGTCAGGCTCTCACTGACAGACCACAATCAGCCCTAAAAAGTTTGCAGATTTTTTGATTAGGAGAGTTGATGTTGCAGGTCTCTCACAGCTGCCTGAGTGGTTTGCGCTCATGGAAGAGTCCAGCCGTGCCTTCCTCTTCTTTCTTCGCCAGCCAGTTCAAGGTCTTCCTTCCGCCCAAGAATAAGCAGGAGGTTGGAGATACATGGTGGGTGATCCCAAGCGAACTCAACATTTTCACCGGGTACCTGCCCAACAACCGCTACCACCCTCCCACACCAAAGGGCAAAGAGGTATCTTTTAAAAAAAAAACAAAAAAAAAACAGATTCTGTTCACTTCAAGTCAAAAATGAATGCTACATGTTGCGTTGTTGTTCTCACCGCAGGTTCTCATCCACTCACTGCTGACCATGTTTCACCCCCGACCCTTCATAAAATCTCGCTTTGCGCCTCAGGGCACCATCGCGTGCATACGTGCCAGTAACGACTTCTATTACGACATTGTGTTCCGGTGAGGAGAAACAAAGTATGATGTCATACATGTTTTGAAAATTGTTCCCGTTCATAGCTAAATTTCTATTTTAATTAAGAATAGTGATAATTATAGGAGCAGCAGCACGGTGCAGTCATGGTTTTCTGGACACTTAAAGACACCTAATAACTTTGAAAATTACTGTTTGTCATCAGAGCAAAGTGATAACTGACAGTGAGGGCCACTGTTTGAGATTTGTAAGTTTTAATGTGCAAAGAAGACCAAAAAAAAAAAACAAAACGACAATTAAGGGGGATAGGTTGAGTTTTAAAATTGCTCCCAAAATTTGAACATAGCCTCACTTCACTAATCTTTCCCTCCATTCTGACCAAAGCCGCGTCCCTCACTGATGTGCACAAGCGCAATTCTGAAATATTCGTGCGGTTTTGAAAACATGTGGTTTTGATGAAAAGTCGGAGAGAACGCTGTCGTTTTCACAAAAAAAAAAAAAAAAAAAAAAAAAAATCTCTTCTTAAATCCCCAAAACAGGATTCATGCAGAGTTCCAGCTAAACGATGTCCCCAACTTTCCCTTCTGGTTCACGCCAGGCCAATTCACAGGCAACATTGTCCTCGCGAAAGACGCTTCTCACGTGCGGCACTTTCACCTCTACGTCCCCAGTGACAAGTAAAGGCCTTTTAAGATGCACATCACAAAAGTGAGCATGTTAGAGGCAGAGTCGTTATCGTGTGCTTTTTTCCGTCTGTGTCAAAGGTCGCTGAATGTGGACATGGAGTGGCTGTATGGCGCTAGCGAGAGCAGCAACATGGAGGTGGACATAGGCTACCTGCCACTGGTAAAGCCTTTCCAGCTACTTTTCATCTAGTTTACAGTAGAAGTATTATATACAGTAGTCCAATGTTTCCCATCATTTTTGACCCAAGGTATCCATTTTACATGAAAAAAAATGTCATGGCACATCACCCCCCCCCCAAAAAAAATCATAACAAAAATACATTAAGAAAATATGATTTATTCATAAACTGACTTGCTCCATGTGAAACCTGCGCCTGCTTCATTGAACACAAAGGAGATATACTCACAGGAAGCCATGACATATTTTAGTATGTGTGGCAACAGATAGATAAGCATTTTCTTCCACAGCTGGAGTTGCAGTCCACCGGGCCGTCCATTCCCTCCGTCATCATGGACGAAGAGGGCAACGTCATCGACAGCCGAGGCGGCAGCGCTGAGCCGATCCAGTTTGTCTTTGAGGACATTGACTGGAGCGTAGAGATCGATCAAAAAGAAGCCGCCCGTCGCCTGGAGGTCACCCTGTATCCCTTCAAGAAGGTAAACGTGACTTTGTTGCGTTGTTTACCATGTCGCTTGTTGGCTGTCTAACACTGGACTGTACCGTAGGTGTCCTACCTGCCTTTTTCGGAGGCCTTCCAGCGAGCCGAAGCAGAGAAGAAGTTGGTGCATTCCATTCTACTTTGGGGAGCACTAGACGACCAGTCCTGCTGAGGTGAGACCGTCAGGTTCAAATGTAACTCTTTGAGAGTCGATGACGTGAAATATCATCAACGGAAACCCTAATGAGGATTGCCAGCAATGGAAAATGTCGTCAACTACCTTTTAGTTATGGGAATAGGCAGAAGAAAGTATTTTCCAGCTTTGGTTTGACCATTAAATTCGGAAAGGGGGGGGGGCCTTAACTATGGCCAGCAGATGGCAGCATTTGGATCTCTTTTGGATGAGATCACCATGTATGCATGCCTGAATGCACACACACACACACACACACACACAC